GAGTTCAACCTCCAGGTCAATAGTTCTCACCTTGACAGCACAATAGAATCACCTGGGAAGCATTTGTAAATCTAATGCTCAGGGCAATTTAATGAGAACCTCTGGGTTAGGACCCAAATATTGATATTTCTTAAAGATCCCAGACTGTTCCTATGTGTAGCCAAGGTTAAAAAGCACTGTTCTATACAGATGCAAGAATTCCTTCTATTAAATTAAGGACACATGTTTGAACTGTTTATTTTTTATAAGCACTCATGAAAGCTCAGCAATTAGAGCTGGAAAAGGGTTTCAGTTAAATATAGTTTTCATGTCCCTAGCCAGGAAGAGGCAGGTCCCATCTTACAGCGGGGATACTTGGGACCCAGACTGGTCAGGTGGCTTTCTCAAGGACCCACCCCTAATTACCCGCAAGTCGAAGGTAGAATCCGTGTCTCCTGCCTGTGGGAACGCTTCGTCCCTAGCATCACACAACCAGGACACAAGAGTTTCAGGGAAGGCCACTCCAACCCAGGCAGGCCCACGCTCATCAAGTAGTTGTTACACAAAAATGAGAAAATTAGAAGGTTGCCAAGTATTTGATAAAGGTGAAAATTATGTTAAGATCAGAAATTATTAGCCAGCTTTGATTTGTCTGCCTCAAAATGAGAAATTGATGAACATTATCATTAGTGGCAAAATAAACTTCTTTAGAAAGAAGTCAGAGGGCAAAAAATACTAATGCCTGTACTTGGTAATGGGAAAGTTTAAAGGCAAAAATTTACAGAACCTCTAAGATAATTAAATGTCCAGATATTTAGCTAGGAAGTATAGACAACCTTGGTCCTTTCCATCCTCACAATGGAATAGATTTGTAGATTTGAACTGGAAGAAAGCTTTCAAAACATCTGACTCGGGAAATTTTTGAGTGTAGAAGAAGACAATGTTGGCATTTTTCTTTAGTAAATGTCGGGAGAAGGAAGTAGGTATCCACCTTGAAAATCATCTGCTCTTTTACCAATTAATCTGTGTGTTCAGTAGATGTGTGTCATTTATTTCACCTCCTTCTGTGCTCGTGAATTTGTGTCTGTCTTTTGGATCCCACTTACACTTATCAACAAGAACCACTGAATAAATAGATTAACTTGGTAAGAAATAAAGGTGCTTACTAGGCTTAATAACTAAACAGACATTGTATGTAACACAGCATAGAAATTATTAGAGGTAGTCCACAGACCTACATTATACTTCTTGTTATAAGTTTGCCTGAATTTATAAAGGAGATAGTTCCAGAGTATTATATTAATGAGAATTTTACATTAAACAGACCTTAATGTATCTGTTTGTGAACCTCTGCTCTGTTCATGTCAGGAAGCAAAGGCAAATCGGCACTATTATAATTTGATAGTAAATGTTTCCTGTTCCTAAAATGCCTCCTTGGGCACTACAGCAAAGAAACACCATAGCCAAGTCTATGAGACATCAAGACAACCAGTCAATTCAAACAAAATAAGCCAAACCTGCGTTTGATGTTCCCTTGGTTTTTCCCTAACACGAATAACAATAAAAAACAGTTGTTCAATTCATTTATTTTTTAACAAGTGGTGTTGAGTTTACTATACACACTGACTCTAAGGTAGAAGTCAATAAAATAAAATTTTGATATTATGCAAGTTATTTAATCAGTTAACTGCAAGCTTTATCTCCTACTGGTGTGAGTGCAGTGCAAGCCCAGGATACTGAACAATCTAAGGCAATGAATATCCAAAGTACTACCCAAGTCATTTTAGGCCAGAGGTCAGCAAACTTTTTCTGGAAGGAGCCAGATAGTAAACATTTTGGGCTTTGCAGGCTATATGGTTTCTGTAGCACCTACTCAGCCCTCCTGTTGTAGCAGAAGAACAGACACAGCTGTATTCTGATAGAATTGTATTTACACAAACAGGTGACAGGACTGGTTTGGCACTCAGGCCATTTGCAGACTCCTGATTTAGAGCTTTGAAAAACTGTAAGATCCAAGAACATTTTGACTGTGCCTTTTCAATTACACCAATATAAGCGTGGAAAAAGATAGACAGGCAAGAATTTAGTATAACCCTGATCACTCAAGACAGGCCGATGGAAGGTATTACAGGAGGGAAGGGCTCTCTGACCACTTTCAGGCGACTTGATGACACTGCTACATTCCCTGCTTTAGCTCTGGTTAAAACTGTGTAAAGCAGGCATTAACACCCCTATTTTCCAGATTTTTAAGTGTATGAGATGGCTAAATAAGTTGCAGAGACAGCTTTCGAACCGAGGCATGTCTCACTCCATTGCTCCTGTTGTTTCTACTTCACTGTTACTAGGTGGCCTTAACAAGGGCTTCTTGTTGAGGCGGCTGTTAGTTCTTCACATCCATGCAAGACCTGCCAGACAGAGCGAAGAACCTGGGGAGAAAATCTGCAGGTGGAGTGACTTATTTATCCAACTGGCCAGTCAAGCAAATCTTAAATCCGTGGATGGGGCTTGAAGATTTCCATTCTGTGTGCCAGTCGTGCTGAGCTAATCTGAACCAAAGCCCATGTGAACCATTCAGTCCACAAACTGGAAACATGGGCCAAGGAAGGAGGGGACAATATTCACAAAGCAAATGTTTTCTTAACCCTTTCCAGAACCCCGTAGTACAGTCATTTCAGCTCATGCCTTGAGGGTGTTTTCTGAAAAAAGAAAGTGCTTTTTTCAGCACTCTTGGTGTCTGATTTCAAACCCTGCCCTTCCATCAGGTGATTCTCAGTGGGCTGATGATTTTGCTCTATTTTTACTGGCTTTTCCCTCAGAGTCTAATCTCCCAGGTACCCTCTGCTCTAAACAAAGGTCTTAATTGGATCCAGGGTGAAGAGATGCATCCAGTGTCTGGGGCATTTCTTAATCTCCTTTAAGGTACCAAAGGAGAATTGAAAAGAACTTTGATGGTGTGCAACATGTAGAAACATTCACCCCAGTTATTTCAACACTGATCTTACAATGTGGTCTCCCTAAAGATGGAGTTTTGCTTGCACCTGACTGACCTGCAGGATGTGAGCAGGAAATACGCCTCCAATATCCCCTTTTAAAAAACTGCTTATCTCTTAGGAGAAATATAAGAAAAAATGTAGTGCATAATGACGAAGGGAGAATACCGCAGCTCATGAACACAAAGAAGCAGCCCATATCTCAGACACAGAAACAAAACCAAAGCAGTCAACATCATTTTGGTGGCATCTCAGCCTACTGAGGTATCTCTGCAGAATGGGTATTATTTTTACCCCATTTTACATATGAGAAAACTAAGGATTTTTTAAAAAGGAAAATGACTTGCCCTAAATAGGCAGGAACCAAGGCAGAAAAGCCCATCTAGAGGCTCACATAAAACCCACTGATTCAGCCTACATGTAAGGGTATATGGACACACAGCAGGCTCCAGTAAAGACATTAGTGCCCCCCTGCCCTTCAGCCACCACATAGCACTCCCATGGGGCTGGCTGCCATTAGCCTAAGAAGCTTAGGGTCTTGCTGTCTCCTCCTTCGGGACCAGTTGCATACCACCCATACTGGGATATCTATAATTATCTTTGAAGGATTCCATAACTCTCAAGTAAAAATTAAAGTACACTTCTTGTTTTTTTAAAAAAATCCGTCTCGCCATTATCAAACAACAATGAAACTTCACAGTCTGAGAAGTTTTCAAATCACTTTTCTGTACACATTAAAATGCTCAATTCCAGATAATTCAAAAAAAAGTGACTACAAGTTGTGTTTTAATCAAAGGCATATTTTCTTTCCTTTTTTTATCATTTCTTTTAAAAATGTTTTCATCTTTTTTTTTATTTTGGTACTATTAATCTATAATTACAGAAAACATTATGTTTACTAGGTTCCCCCCTTCACCAAGTCCCCCCCACATACCCCTTCACAGTCACTGTCCATCTGCATAGTGAGATGCTGTAAAATCACTACTTGTCTTCTCTGTGTTGCGCAGCCCTCCCCGTGCCCCCCATGCACTATACATGCTAATCGTAATGTCAAAGGCATATTTTCAGAACTTTATTTTGTAAAATAAATAAACACTCCCTAATTTATATCTCCTATACATCTAGATTCTCTTATATTAAGTTTGCTTGAAGTAGGGTGTACCTGAATTCATTAAAAGACATTTTAAAGAGCTAAGTGACTTTAAAAAGAGCAATTTTTTGGTAATACTTCTTATTAAAGGAAATACAGAACTGAGCCTCATAAGGCTGTTGAGTTGACTTTGTTATTTCAAGAAAGGAATGTTGTAGATAATCTCTGTATGATTTCCATTATTAATAACATGAGTCTCTGTTTGGTCCCACATAATGGAAAATAAAGTTCACAGTTGTTCCATCCAACCCCCAGGATAAACACAATGTATAAAGATAAGCCCGTTGTCCCCTTGCACTGGAACACCAGCCTTGCCACCAAATGGGAAGAAGAATGATAGGAGGCAGGTCAGTGAAGCCAGTGAAGACATGCTCTACCAATCTGAGTTTCCACATCTCCCCAACGCATTAACAGAAACAATCACACCTTTGACAGAAGCTAAGTAACTCAGAGAGGAGCAGGGCCCATGGAATTGAACCACAAGCTACAGGGTAGCTATTTATAAAAAGAATGCCTCTCATGTGAAGAACTCCACGCTTACCCCTCCAGGCCCCAAACCAATGTTACATCTGGCTTTCGTTTTGTGAATCATAAACTGCCCTTTTTCACCACAGTGATTCATGCACAGCAGTGGAGATTCGATGAGTTGCCCCAGCTTGGGACACCATTTCGTTCCCCTCCAGCCTGGAAAATCAGCATCACCTCTGACAGGCTGGTTTCTCCACCCGGCTCAGTCACGCCCACCTCACCCCTCCCCACCCCCTGCTTGGGGCCTGGACCCCTGTGGCCCCCATCCCCACCATCACCTGCCAGGCCAACAGGGGAGCTCCTAGCTCCTGCCGTGCTCACGTGGCTCTGACAGCCCCTGCCGGAGCACTTACGTTTTTGCCAGAGCATGGCCTGTGACAGGATGTTGCCTTTTCTCTTTGAAGCAGACAGTTTGACTTCTTTAATGTGAGACCTGGGTGTGCGTTCCTCCAGTGCAGCCACTGCTTGCTCAGAGGCTGTTTCCTCGGCCTTTTAAAGGCCCAAGTTCCCACTGCGCGGGGGCACAGCAGCGTCACATCCTCCCACCTCAGGCACGGGTGCACTTTTTCTTCAGCAAGGCTGCCTGTCACCCCACTGTGCGCACCCTCAGAGGCCCTCCGGCTGCAGGCCACTTGACTCGCAGAGCCAGCCAGCTGGATCCGAACCGCAGCGCAGCAGCAGGAGGCCGTGGACACCAGCTGCGGCCGCAGGGTGCGATGCGCCGCGCGGTGAGCTCGTGAGCGCGGGGGTTCAGGCTCGCACCTGCCCACCCCAGTGACGAGTCCAAAGCCCCCTGGAAAGCTCTGGGCTCTTGGTGGCGTCCGTTCAGGCTTTTGCCTCCCAGGACGCAAGCAGGGCTCTGTCGGCCTTGGGCCCTGCTCCGCGGGAAATGCGATTCCCAGGGGTCACTGGTTCTAAACTGGAGGAAACACCTGTAGTCTCTTCAAGCCTCACTAAACAACCCCCTCATTCTTTTAATATTGCTTTTCTGTTTATTCCATTTTGAAACACAACAGCCCCTCCCCTCGCTCCCCAGCGACTGCCAAGCTGGCCAGTTGTGGTCACACTTAAATGCGAGGGCTGCCGCTTGCGGTGGTCCTTCTGCCCACGGGGAGGAAGGCCACCTCCTCGAGGGAGAGAGAAGACTCGCGTGCTGTTCGGCTGGAGCTGCGTCCTTCAAGGGGACTTTAGGCACATACGGACGGGACAGGACCCTAGAGCGCACCCACCATTTAGCATGAAGCTTCCCAAAGGAAAACGGGGTTCACCGCCCGAAGGTGTGTGGGGTGTCCCTCCCAGCGCGGAAGCCTCCGCCGCTGTGCATCTGAAGCCCACGTGCTCATGCCCCATGACCTGAATGGTTTAGGGTCAAGGCCGCCCGGCTCGGACTCCCTCGGGCAGTGTGGGGCCCCGCCGTCCTGCCCCCACACTGCCCCAGAACCACCTCACACAGCCCAGGTGGGGTCCCGCCACGCTCCAGCTTAAGAAACCTGCTCCCTTCGGCCACAGAAGGGGAGGCACGTACGGCCCCTTGCGATCTGAGTCCCCGTTCACCTTTCCAGCCTCACCATCCGGCCATGCCCGACACTGTTCCCAGCGAGTCCTAAGGACCGCTGTGCACGCCCACACCACTTCCCTGCCTTTGACCTTGCTGTCCTCGCTTGGTGGGCTCCTCTTCCCCAGCCCCATGTTAAACCTTAACTACATTATCGAATCTAGCTACCACAACTCTGTGAGAAAACTTCTATCCCATCCACCAGAGAAACAAACACTTAGGAAATTTAATTTGTCCAATGTCACAGGACTATTAGGTGATAGGCTGGGGATCAGACTCAAGTTCATTCTACTAAAGCCAGAGCTTTAAGTAATTATATTAATAGATATTTATTAAGATGAAATCAGTGAAAGCCGAATGTCAGTCATATTTAAAACCAAGAATAGATCAAATAGAAGATTATATGCCAGGGATAAATCCATGTCCTCCAAAAAGAAGGGAGGAAGAGGACAAACCAGAGGTGCTCTGAGAAATCAGATCCTGTACAGTAGCAGAGAAAAAAATAATGTCAGTAGGCAAGTCCACCACATGGACAGCTATAACCGTGCCACCACTGACAGCCTCGGAGCTGAGGGTTCCGGCCCAGTGACTCCAGCAAAGACGCTGGGGATCAGCGACTACATGCAGGATGCATCAGGGAGCCAAAGCTCGATCAGAATGTCAGATATTTTCTGGGAAAACATTATCTGTGACTCAGAATCAAAAGTCGAACTACATGGCACAGTTCAAAAGAAGACCACGTGACTGTGTTCATGCAATACATCAAAAAGTGGAGAAAAAGAAAAAAATTCTGTTGACATCATCAAGATGTCTCCAAATACAGGTGTGCTGACACTTCAAAAAAAAATCTGATATACCAAAATCAAAACCTAAAATAATTTAGTAAACAGCACTGATCCATATTGTAAAAGAACTCATCACTTTGCAAAAATAATTTATTTCCTCATTCTTTCAACAGATATTTAAAAGTGCTCATTATGTGCCATTGCCTATACTAGGCCTTATTTGTACTTTTAGAGGATGATTAAACAAGCTTTAGTCATCCTCTTCATTCATGGTACTTTGGCATCATTAGTCCATGAAAAGACCCTCTCTTATTTACTTATTAATTCATTAGCTCATTCATACATTCATTCATTCATTCACTTTTCTCCCCATCTTCCCTGATACTCTTTTGCTTGTCCTTCCTGACCTCCATCACTTATCTACCATTCCAATTAACAGCTATTTTCATCCGGTTGATGCTGATTTTTTTATTTGAAGATATTTGTACCTGTTCTTGCAAAATATGTATTGCTTTGCACACATGGATTTTTAATTCATGTAAGTGATAAGTGATATTGTATTATAGAGCTCACACTGTTCCTTATTTTTTAATTCAGCACCATGTTAGAAGATCCATCCATGTTGCTATGTGTGCATTGAATCTGTCACTTCTAATGGCTTGAAAATATTCCATGGAATGCAAACACTGTTTTACTTAACCAGATTGTCTCCAACTTCTCCCTCCACACACACACACAAAGCATCAATGAACACTCTAAGATGCTTTTTAGAGGCATATGAAAATTTCCATGGGGTTATATATGCAGAGGTAGAATTACTAGGCCAAAGAATATAAGTGTATTTAGGTTAGTTGAATACAATCAGATTATTCTCCAGGGCTCCCACCAGAGTTCACGGGGCATCACATATTTCCACTTCACCACCAGACTTCATCCCTCTTTTTAATTTTTGCCAATTGAATAGACATAGTGATAGTTCATTGTGATTTCATTTTATATTACTAATAATAATACGTTTGAACATCTCTTCATATGTTTGTTAACTTTCTGTATTTCCTCTTCTGTAAAATGGTTGCTCATTACTTTGCCAATTTCTCTAGTGGGAATGCTGTCACTTCTTGTTAATTAGCAGGAATTGTTTGTATATTTTATGTGTGTATGACTTTAGATATTGTCCATTTTATTTGATATAAATTTCTTCTCCTAATCTGGCATGTGTTAACTTTATTCATGGTATCCTTATTTTGAATAGAAATACTTAATTTATATACATAGGCCCATCTTTGAACTCTATTTTATTTTATTGGTTTCATTTTTCTTGTACGAATATTTTAGTTTTTGTGATTATTTATTACAGTACATGTTAAAATTTTAGAGTAAGCTTATCAAGCTCTTCTAAAAAAATGTAACTGGGATTTTTATTGGCTCTTCATTGAATTTATAGATTTCTTTAAGGAGGATTTCTATCATTGTAAGAGTAATGTGGCCCAGCTACAGGTGAGATACCTTTAATCTATGGAGCTCATATCCCATGTTATTTATCAGAGATTTAAAACTTTCTCCGTGGAAGTCTAGTGCATTCTTAGATAAGTTAACTGTTATTTGTTTTATAGTTTCTGTTAATAGAGTGACTGACATCTTACTTTGTATTATATTTTCTAATTTGTTATTGATGTTACAGAAAAGGTCTAATAATATTTGTGAGTTTAACTTATTTCCAACAACCTTGCTGAACTCTCTTAGTGGTTTTAAGAGTTTGTCTATTGATTATGATGGTCTTTCTAAGAAGATGATCATCTCTTCTGAAAATAATGGCAGCTTTATCTTTTCTCTTTCAATCCTTACATCTCTTATTTCCTTTCCTTAGAGTGTTGGCCATTAAAATAAGTAGCAATGGTGAAAGCAGTTATTCTTGTCTTGCCCTTATCTTGAAGATATGATTAAGATACATTTCTAACATTAAAAAATATTATGAAAGATAAAAGATTAAAAGGGCTTATGAACACTCAAACTACAGAGGTAAAGAAAACTAATACCTATACATATTATAATGAATTTTAAAAACACCACATGCAAAGAGGAAGCTAAAAGCTTATGGAAAAAGAGTACATTAACAGCTGAGAAATAAGAATCATTGGTAGCACACTTCTCAACAGCAAAGATAGATGCAAACAGACAGTGAAAAAAATGTTTTAAAGTATTAAAGAACATTGAACCTATAATTTAAAACCTAGCTGAACATTGAACCTATAATTTAAAACCTAGCTGAACTATCATTTAAATATTGTAACATAACAAAAATATCCTCAGACATTACTAGGCCTCATATTAAACTGCTCTTTGAGGAAGCACTCAAATGAAAAGAAAGAGCAACTAGGATAATTGCAAGAAATATGGGAACAGAAGATGGTCAAATGCCTGGGTAAAGTTTATGATAGGAATTTTCTTTAAGCTGGAAAAGAAAAAAGCAAAAACATATCAAACAGAACAAAATATCAAGACTATCAACAGGGTTACACAAGTCCAGGGACACTATTCACATATTTCATTCAATTTGTGAGTACATGTAATGTGTGCCACTGAGGAAGACCAAAGGGAAATTAAAATGTACTCATATTTCTGTTTTACAAAAGAGAAAGTATAGTTTTTGATAAATTGAAGAAATGAACAGGGAAAAGTAAACATAAATATGAATCTGAAGTAAGGGGCAACTGCGACTTACATTCTTACTACAAGAACAGATATAGAATGTTAAATAGAAGATAACTGAATCTTTCTATGGAAAATAGGAAGTATTTAAAAAAATTTAAATAGAAAATAGAAATAAAGTAACAGCATAGCTAGTAATGGCACAGTAACTACAAAAATATAAAAAGATTCAACTAACCCCCAAATGAATAGTCTAACATCACAATTATCTAAACTGGAAAAAGAAGAACAAATGAGGCCTAAAGTCAGCAGAAGGAGGGACATAATAAAGATCAGAGAAGAAATAAACAAAATGGAGAAGAATAAAACAATAGTAAAAATCAACGAAACCAAGACCTGGTTCTTCGAGAAAATAAACAAAATAGATAAGCCTCTAGCCCAAATTATTAAGAGAAAAAGAGAATCAACACAAATCAACATAATCAGAAATGAGAATGGAAAAATCACGACAGACTCCACAGAAATACAAAGAATTATTAAAGACTACTATGAAAACCTATATGCCAACAAGCTGGAAAACCTAGAAGAAATGGACAACTTCCTAGAAAAATACAACCTCCCAAGACTGACCAAGGAAGAAACACAAAAGTTAAACAAACCAATTACAAGCAAAGAAATTGAAACAGTAATCAAAAAACTACCCAAGAACAAAACCCCGGGGCCGGACGGATTTACCTCGGAATTTTATCAGACACACAGAGAAGACATAATACCCATTCTCCTTAAAGTGTTCCACAAAATAGAAGAAGAGGGAATACTCCCAAACTCA